CACTGTTTTCTTAGAATTTTTTTAACGGAATTAACTAAAAAGCTGAAATTCTTAACTGTTCTCTTATAAAATAATAAAATTACTTAAATTATTAATTAAAATAAATTTTTGACGTCGTTAAAAACTATTAAACGACTTGATAATTTATTAATAAAATAAGTCATCTATTATGAAATTAAAAATTTTAAGGAGCAAGATATAATTTCTATAACCACATAAGATAATTTGTATTTTAAACAAATCTTAAGGAGTATATTTGTAATTTACCCTAAATTTTCTTATATTAGCCATCCCAATCTGTTTCCATTATTAATAAGGATAAATCATACATCATTGAGGTTTGTTAAAAATATAAAGTATTTCCTCACATTTTAAAAATTTTCAAATCAAGTTTGAACAACTTATAACTCGATTCATTCGCATCCCTATTAATATGTTGCTCCTATATATACTCATTACGCGTATGTATATCATTGTATTTCTACATCTACTAGCAATTATTAAAGGGAGATTGACCAATAAGTCCCATATTTTAGACTTGTAATCCATATAGTCCCATATTTTTTCTTGTGATTCATTTGGTCCTTTTTGGATGAGTAATGACTCATTTGCCCACCATATTAGAGTATCACATTTGAACAAAGTACACTAAAAAAATTTTTAGTGTCATATTATACCTGTCATGTTAGAGTATCACATTTGAAAAAAATATACTAAAAAGTTTTTAATTTTTTTAGAGTGTCACATCTACTTGTCACGTTGGAGTGTCACATGTCATGTTCGAGAAAAGTACACTAAGAAGTTTATATTTTTTTAAAGTGTCGCATCATACCTGTCACGTTGGAGTGTCACATGTCATGTTCGAGAAAAGTACACTAAGAAGTTTATATTTTTTTGAAGTGTCACATCATACCTGTCACGTTGTCACGTTTGAGAAAAATACACTATGAAATTTTTATTTTTTTAAAGTGTCACATCATACCTGCCACATTGTCACATTTAAAAAAAGTATATTAAAGAATTTTTATTTTTTTAAAGTGTCGCATCATACCTGTCATGTTTGAAAAGTGCACTAATTATTTTTTTTAAAATAAAAGTTTTAAAATGTCATATCATACCCGTCACGCTGTTCCATTTAAAAAAAAGCACACTAAATAGTTTTTAACATCGTTGGAGTGTCATATTAATATCGGTCGCATTGGAATATCATATCATATATGTCACATTAATAAAAAGGTTTACCAAAATGCTACCAAAATTAAAAATAGGAACACACGAGAAAAGGCTCCGGCGGTGGCTCTTCCACCCGGGGGCACTCCGACGATCAAGTCAGTATATCTCTCAAAGATAATCAAGTGCTAAACTCACAAGCTTGAGTATAAAACTGCGTACCTTAGACCCACGGGGGTGCCTCTCTTTTATAGTTTACTCAATCCAAGTCCTACTAGAAGCCTGACTTCTATGGACTCCAATTTAGTACTTACTTTGGATTTCTCAAGAGATAAAGATAAACTCCCTAAGAGTTTTATCCTTATCTTAGCAAAAAGTCTTCTCTTTTATCTAGGACTCTTGTCCCTTATCCGCTTATCTTGGATTCCGATATCTTCGGAGATAACCTCGGCCTTGCCTAGGTAACCTCGGCATAACTATCAGGACACGTGGCACCTCGACTGACACGTCGGCATCAGCATGCCACGTGTTGGTATTCAGAAAATACATCCCCACAACATGAATGGCATATTTCATGGAAATTTCCTTCATACATTAGAGTTCTTGCATGATTCATGAAAATTGGCGAGAAAATATCCATGATATTGAAGTTTGAATTCATAGTATACATTTTTTATAATTTACCAATTTAATTGAAGTTTTGATCCTTCTATTGACAAATTGAGTTCATAATGTTTTTACATACATGGCTTCATTCTTGCTCATACAATTGAAATCTTGTTTGGTTTCTCAAATTTGAGGAGAAAATCTCATGGATTTTGATTATCTAACTCGAGATTGTATGATTTATAATTTTACATGTTAAATTCAAGATTTGACCTTTTGCATATAAATTGAGTTTCAATTTAAAATTATAATTTTTGTTTAAAGTTATATATGATGAATTCAAGATGTTTTTGAAAGGTTTTGGGTCTTGACATACATGAGATTGAAGTTAAAGTTACTAAAAAATTGGGTTTCTAAACTTAAACAGATTTTCGGATTTGAGAAGACCCAAAACTGCACGTACGGAAATTAGAACAGATTGAAGCTTGCTTTCTACTTTAATTGCACGTGTGGGCGCACGTGCTGTGGTAGTTTCGCACGTGCAATCAGTGCTCCCGCACGTGTGGATTTCAGGATGGTCCCAGTTTTATTTTCGCTCAATTTTTCTATCTTCCGGACTTCCATTTACATGGTTTTAAAGTGTTTTTCATTGAATTGTATCTCATGAATACAAATGAAATGAATGAACAAAATGTTAGAACCGAACAAGTGTACAACGAATAGAAACCGATAAGTGAATAGAGCCGATTGATTGAATGAACTGTGTATTGAATTGTTATGCTTGAATTTATTTGTTTAGGTCAGACGACGCATCTTTAGTGCATTTTAGCACGTGTTTCAAGGAGCCCACTGTGAGTAACAATGTTGTAAAACTACGTTCATATATAATTATTTTTTGATTGATACTACTGTATTGTTTACTGAAATGACATTATTTACTGAACGAATGATTGTCTTGTTTTGAGAACTGTACTTGTGGCATCCATAGCAACTGATTGTTGCTGCTACCGTTACTATTACTGTTACAGAGATCTCTGTCAATTCCATTATTTGGAACTACTGTTACTGTATTGATAGCCATCAACTAATTGTTCGATCTTTTAAGATCTATTGTACTGTTCTACTATTGGATGTACCATGCATGACTGCTATGATTTCTAAATAATTGATATGATATGAAATATGAGATACTGATCGAATAAATGATCTACTGATGTAATTGACTGTTAAAAAATATATATATACTAAAAGGACATTCATTCACAACCTTTTTACACATTTGTTATTTACTAGGTTTTAGCTTACTGTTTATTATATGTATGTAAGTGATCAAGCACCGAATCAGTCCCAAACCCTGTTTTGTCAAGCCAACTACTGTGTCTCACTGCGAGGTTTCGAGCCAACACGTGTCAAGGCTTTGGAGTGTTTCTACTTTGCCACTTGTGGTTATGATCATGTATTATACAACTTTGTTCCAGACTTTTGTTTTGACAGTTATGTTATTGGGATTTAATTCCCTAAGTTTGGCATGGTTTTACATATGTTATGACTTGGACTTATGTGACTATCTTTGAATGCAAGTTTGATTTGTTCATTTAAGTCCTCACAATTCATTGGATGTTATATTTTATTATTACAGGCTTCCGCCAGCCCTTATAATTATAATACTGTTAAGCAGGCTTTTGGTAATCACAGATTACTGGCCAGCTACTATGCTAAACTTATGGGGACGGGTTTAGGTCGTGACAGTTATTCCAGTACTCACCCAGACACAACATGTTTAAAACCGTGAGACTCCGGCCAAAACAGACAATATATTGACGAGGCGACTCAACATTTACATTTACAATAAAGATTAAAAATAATTTATTTACAAACCACTAAAAAAAGATTAAAATAATTTCCTTAAATTTACAATAAAGATTAAAAATAATTTCTTTACAAACCATTAAAAAAAGGCAGTTTAATCAAGATTTTAAATATGCAAATTTTATTATATTTACAATAAGAAAGTAGATATGGTTGTTTGTTATCATTTTCGCTTTTGTTATTTTATTTTATTTTTTCTTGAAAACTCATTTATAAGCTAAAATTGTTCTGAGAAATTCTTTTGCAAAATCCAACTATCAAAATATAATAAAAAATTATTTCAACAATTAAAACAAGAAAATAATAAAGTGTCCAACTATCAAAATATAATAAAAAATTATTTCAACAATTAAAACAAGAAAATAATAAAGTGTTTTGAATTTATTTATTTATTTATTTATTCTTTGTGTGTAAGAAAAAAATAAAAAAACAAACAAACAAGGGCAACTTTGTTTAAGGTGTAGCCTGTTGAAGTTGCTTGTACTTTTTCTTCTTCATTTTTCTTCATTTTTTTTTTTTTTTTTTGTCTTTTTGTTGTGAGAATATGTGTAACAGTGTAAGGGTGTTTGGTGTAGTTTGATTATCCAAAAGTTAGAGGATGAGTCATTTTAAATTATATTTTTTTATTATCAACTTATAACTTTATAATAAATAAATAAAAAGCTACACACTAAAGAGTTCCAGTACTTTGCAGAGAAAATAGAAAGGGCCATGTGAAAAGAAGTGTATTCACCCAAAAAAATGGAAATAAGTGTGATTGGTTTTTGCTTTTGTACATTTTTATTTTCAACAAGCTCAGTGCTTCAGGCTGCATATAAGTCATATGGCGGCATGGCTGTCCATCCTTCTTCACACACGAGAAGGGCTTACTTTGCTGATGTCTCTCTTTTTCCTTCATTTCCCTTTTGTTTTGTTTTGTTTTTATGTTTTTTTTTCCCTTCACAAATACATCTTAACATATTATTAATCTTTTTTGCAACTCAAAATACATCCTCCAAATTTTAGCATTCAAAACGAGTAATTTAATATTTTAATTTGGCTTAAAAATATTTTCCTGTTTTAACCACAGTTGAATTACACACTTGCACATTTTTAGTGCTAATATGCACTAAATGATAACATGCTCTTCTTTATATAGTAATTCGACTTATTGCTCCACATTCCCCATCAGTTAACTAGGAAGATTTATATCAAAAGGATTGAAAATACTACTCATTTATTCATTCGAAGGTGAAGCATAGAGCACCAAAAGCTGTAGTGCTAGATAGAAAGTTAATTTATCTACCATGAAAGGTACATCTTTATGAATAGCAAGTTACGACTCACTATCCCAAAAAACAAAAAGAAAAACAAAGAAAGAGCAATCTCATGGCGAAATTGATGTTATAGCATAATAAAAAAGTTTGAATTTCTTATAAACCTGAACATTGCTACAGTGCTACTAGTGTCCGAGCACAGCAATGTGATGACATGTTTCGTCTAGTTCCATAATCACGCAAATTTTCCCACCCCGGACAAATCCGAATCACTCAAATTTTCCCACCCAGGACAAATCCAACATAGGCCTAGTTCTGCCTGGCAGAAACTATATATATATAATAAAAATGACAACAATAAAAAGAGAAGCGAATAAAAATTTAACCGGTGTTTTGCAGCCCGGCAGCAATACCCTTCATGGTTAAGATGAGGGTGTCCTCCAAACCAGGAGCGTACTCGCTGGTGGGATTCAACTTCACAAGTTCAGCAGCAGAATTGCTTGTATTCAACTTCGAAATTTCAGCAGCAGATTTGCCTGTTTCCGAATACTCCTTGGAGATGTGCGGGCGCAACTTCACATGGTAGTTAGGGTCACGAATCCGCTTTAGTGTGTATGCCTGCAACACGTTGAGAGTGGTGATGTAGGAATCACGCAGGCGTAGGCGTTGCTTCAAGTAGGGGTCCCCTTCAAGAAGATCCTTATGTGCAGCAATCTACAAAAATAAGGAAAAGAATCTGTTATTGCTGTTTTCCAAAATTGTAAGAAGTCAAATACTACAAAACAAGCATAAATTACACAAATAATCCCTGAAGTATAGTAAACCACTGATTTCATTCTGGTTCCTAACATTTAATTTGTATCAATTGCATCCCTAAAGTTACAAATTAAAGATTAGGCACCAAAATAAAATCAGTGGTATACTTTAGGTACTATCCATATAATTTACCCAAACTTTGGTGCAACTTGAGAATTTCTCAGAAATAACTGTATCTTGTCATAACATATTTACCTGAAGCAGAAGAGCCTTTGTTTCTTCATAGTTGGTCCTTAGACGCTCTCCAAATGGCCACAAATCTTCCGAAACTAAGAGTTTGTCATACAAAGTCGCAATGCCCGGGTCACCCTTAGCAAACACCATTTCAACTAAATCAATAGTAACTCTAAAGAAAGGCCATGCATTGTACATTTCCTGCAACATGTGGAGATTCTTAATGTCCTTCTTAATGGCATATTTGAACGCTGCCCCAAAGCCAAGCCATACTGGGAGATGAAACCTAGTTTGAGTCCAAGCAAAGATCCAAGGAATTGCACGGAGCGATTCAATTCCTCCACTCGGCTTTCGTTTCGATGGGCGGCTACCAATATTCATTCGACCATACTCCAACTCTGGTGTGGCCTGGAGTCATAAACAAAATAAAGATCATTATACTGGCAACAACAGAGATTCAAATCAACAGGCATTGTCTTTGTAGAATACTTACAAGGCGGAAATACTCAACAAATCGAGGCTCGTTAAAAACTATTGAACGGTACTCCTCCGTAGCAACAACAGCAATTTCGTCCATCAGTGCACGCCATTCCGGTTTTGGCGAGACTGGGGGGTGCATTCCGTGCTCAAGTGTAGCAGCTGTGAAACGCTGTAGTGTCCTAAAACACAAATGTTCCTCCCCAAATGATTGCTCAATAACTTCTCCCTGAACTGTAACACGGAGTGACCCATGGATGGTTTCAGGGGGTTGAGACAATATAGCAAGATGTGTGGGGCCACCTCCTCTTCCAACAGTCCCTCCTCGGCCATGGAACATAGTTAATTTCACACCATATTTCTTCGCAACATTTATGAGCTCCTCTTGAGCCTTGTATAATTGCCAGGCTGCCGAGAATCGTCCAGCATCTTTACCCGAATCTGAGTACCCAATCATCACCTCTTGCTTTCCATTAATCCGGTTTTTGTACCAGTCGATTGAGAAAAGCCGAGCAACAGCAGCTGGAGCAGCCTCAAGATCGTCGAGCTTCTCAAACAGCGGAACGACCCTTAATGGCTGCTTGACTTTGCACTCACGTTGCAAAAGCTCGACCGCAAGTACATCAGAGGGTGAAGTGGCCATCGAGATGATATAAGCTCCAAAGCAGTCTGCCGGAAGCTCAGCTAAGACATGGAATGTATCCAAGACATCTGCTATTTCTTCAGTTTTTGGAAGATCAGGACCAAAAAGAGGGCGCTTTCCACTGAGTTCAGATAAAAGCCATTCCTGCCGGCGTTCTTCGGACCATTCTCTATAGGAACCGATTTCCAAATGCTTCGTTATAGCGTCCATTACATCGGTGTGCCGGTCTGACTCTTGTCTAATATCAAGTCTCACAAGAGAGAGACCAAATGTAGAAACTTGCCTCAAGAAATCAAGAAGGGTTCCATCAGCAATTGGCCGGTCGCCACAAGCACACAGAGATCTGTAGCAGAGTTCTAGAGGTTCCAAGAACTACATGAAATTTAAAGCCTAATTAGCATGAAATCCATCGGACAGAGAGACGGAGGAAAATTAATAATGAATTTCCATTGCAATGCATACTAAAAACCAAAGGGCTAATAACCCTAGTCAATGCCCAATCCATACAAATGAGAACACCCAACAAAACCACATGGCAAAAGTGGACGCATTTGCCAAATGCCAACTAGAAACAGTTAAATAAATCTTTACATGAAATATATGAAATTGCATTGACAAAGTGGAAAATAGGTTTTGGTGGAAATTTAGGATAATAATAAAATATTTAGCAGAGAAAAAATGGAAGTCAGAAGGGAAGGAGATACCTGCTCAATATTGGTGAAAGTTCCTTCCTCTGGAATGTCAGAAATATCATGGGCTAATAAATGGCGAGAGCGTTCACGTGTCTGATACAGCTTATCCCTCACATCACTAAGGATAACACGATAAGGTTCACTTGGAGGTACTTGCTTCCAAAACTCTGCATCACGATAAAGGTCAACAATCGAACACTGCTAACAATGCGCACACACAGAAACGGGGCCGTGGGCTTCTTTATGTGCTTTTGACAATGATTACCTGGTGTATTTATTTTAAATACAACAGACCAAACTGAATTCATAGTGAAAAACACATTTAAAAGGCTGAGAAAGCAGCAATAAAACACCACCTTGGTTTGTAAATTCTGTGTTGGAAACAAGAACTAGCTAGACAAAACCTTTCTTATTAATCTAATTACCTATGTAGTGTTTTGCATCTCTCTTTGATGATCTGTGGAGTTCTTCAGCTCGAACACGAAGCTCATCACTGCAACGCCACATAGACAACTGCCCAAAAAAAAGGAGTTAGAATATCAGTAACAGTTATCGAACATAAAGAAAAAGGAGCTCCTTAAAGAATAAAATCACCGAAATAAACAACAATTGAGAGAGTTGAAACCTCAAACATGAGATCCTCAATCTGAGAATAGTACAAGTTAGCAGCCATCATCCTAGCCAACAAGCAGACATCCCGTGTGACCTCAGGAGTGACCCTTGGATTACCTGCATTTGATGCCAAACATATGTTAAGCAATAAATGAGAGAGAGAGAGAGAGAGAAATCTGGTCTCAAAAGCTGCCCTTAACCAATAAAACCACTTAAATAAAATGAAAACTTGGAAGTATTCATAACTAGTGAAAATGGCAGTTGAAGTACTTTTTAACTTCTCAATTTGGTAAGAAAAGGATCATACCATCTCGATCGCCACCCATCCAAGAAGAGAATTGAATAAGGGGAGCATTGTAAGGAACACGTTCATTTATTCCTATGTTCTTCAGAGCTGTATCAACACGCCGTAAAAATTTAGGAACACCCTTCCAGATTGTTTCATGGAAGTAGCTCATTCCTGCAATATAGCAAGATGTGTGGGGCCACCTCCTCTTCCAACAGTCCCTCCTCGTCCGAAAGGCAGCTTGAATCTGGCATGAAACAAACAAAATAAAATAAAACTGGTTAAACCTCTGGACACAAATCCAATTACTAGATCAAAAGGACATAATCATAACTTTACACTACTATAATGATTAATTGGGTTAAGCCTTTCAATATGAAACAACTAAAGCAGATAATTGCAAAGAAAATCACCGCTGCACAAATGCCTGCCCTCATGGTGATGAGTGATATAACTATATGCTGTTACACATATATAAACTTGATCACCAGAAGCACCAATAAATTGTTGGCACAAATTACACCTTTTATGGCAAAAAGGCAACACCTATGAAGGTTATATTTCTAAATACAGAAGAATTTTTTTTTTGAATTTCACTACTTCCATGAACCTGGGCTTTGTAAAATTTGTGTCCATGGGATACCAGAGAATATTGGAAAATATAATTTTACAAGAAAGAGGGGTCAACAATCAAACAACTTAATCATAAATAATCGAGAAGTCAATGTAAGCATATTCAGCCAGTACAACTTCTATTGACAATTACAGCATACCAATAAACAAATAAATGACATAAAATAAGAAAAGGAAGACGTAAAAATTTCTACTTCTTCTATGCACTTGATCGATAGATAGCAACACAGCATCTTCAGCAGCCTCTTCATTTCACCAAAAACTCCACAATAGCAAGCCAAAGGCTTAAATTTTTACTCCAACAGCCTAGCTAATGTGAAGCTAAACTAACATTTTGCTACAGTACCTCTCTAGGAAAGACAAGGTACTGTGCACTGGCTTTTAATTTTTTTTTATCCTTTTTTAATTCAAACTTTTGTTTTTAAGAATATTTTAATAGAAGATAGCTAAAGTATAAGAATATTTTAATAAAATATAGCTAAAGTAGATAGCTTGGTTGGAATGTATATTAAAAAAATGACTAGCTAAAATAGTAAAGTGAAATTTTGAATTACTATTTTGACTATCCTTGCTGGTGATGCTCTAAGGGAGTTTTGTTGTAAACAAATTCTTAACCATTTCAAAAGAAGGCGGTGAAGATCCACAACTGCTTTTTTGAAATAAAATACAAATTAGAAAAGACTTCTCAAATCAACATCAGAAATTGTACATCACCAATATCTACAAAATCTCCACGTTAAGTGCCATGATAAAGTTATATTACATACAAGCCAAAACTGCGACTCATTTAAATAGATAACAAAACAAATAATATGATTCGGCAGAAAATTATTTAAAGTTTAAAGGCTCCATGCTGACTCATGAAGATGGAGTTGTTGATTATCATATCACTTCCACACACCCAAAAAAAAACACACACACACAGAGGTAAACGAATATCTTTTTTTTTCTCCCTAAATCTCTCTCTCTCCATGTATAAATAAATAAATCTCCATATTGATCAACCATGTTAGAGAGTGACATGCATTACAAAACATTACTTTACCAAGAAGTAACAGTATAAAATTTGGGTGCATGATTAAAAATAAAGAAATCTGTGAGATTTAAGGACTTCTTCATAATCTTTGACAAGTATTGGGAAAAATGCCAAAGCATGATGGTATATATAAGCTAATGCATTATGCAGTGAAACTTACCTCCCTCTGTAGAGCCTCATCAAGTTCTTGCTTATCATCAGGAGTGATATCTTTGGCATATAATTGGGTTAAACAATTACGAATCCTAACGAAAAAAAATAAGGGATCGATCAAAGCAAATAAAAAAGAATTCATAGCATCAAAGATTATAACATGTCCACAACACAAATGAAAGATTACAAACTATTTAATGACAAACCTTCCGTGCTTTTGAAGCAAAGATCTGCGGACAGATTGAGTAGGGTGAGCAGTGAAGACCAGATCGACAGTTTGATTTTTCAGAGCATCAAAAACTTCTTCAGGAGATTTCTTCAGTTCCCCCACAAGTCTCTTGAGAGTTTCTTCAATGTCTGATTCAGTCGCTGCCGAGTTCTCATCAGCAAAATCCCCCTTTTTCAACTTGATTCGTCGACGGCAAGCAATCTGAACCTCCTCAGCGAGGTTAGCCAAGTTAAGCATGTGAGAGAATGACTTGGCAATGACAATAGAGTCGCCCGGATCCAAACTTGTCAGTACACTTCCAAGTTCATCCATCTTCTTGGTGTCATGCTTTCCTTCATATTCGGCACAAAGTTCATAACACTCTTGAACCTAGACATGGAACATAACAAACAATTTACTTTAGTTGATAGTTCATTAGCAGTCTACTTATCATACATAATGATTTCAAGAAACAATATTAAATCTCTTCCAAGGTTGCTATAGAAACGGCAGTCAAACAATACTCAAGAGATCACTGATTCAGACAATGACTCCCCTGATTGAGAAGTAAATTAGGATCTCAAATTAAATTGTAGATAGCAACTGTTGTTTCTCATGATTCAGTAAGCATTCATTCAATCCTCATATATCAAATAGATCTTCATATATCTTTAACTTCACACAAAATCATGATTTCGGTAATTGTCACAAAGTCATGATTTGGTTAATTCTCAAAACGAGGACCACTGTATATGACCAGTACAAGCTTCATTATTTCTTAATGATTATGTCCAAACAAGAACCAATCATGAATATAGCGATAAAAAAAAAAAAAAATGGATCATAAAACCAAACCAATCTCAAAATCGCAGAAGTCATCGATAATTCAAATCACATTTAATTGGGTTTTCAGTTGAATAATAAATCAAAGTCAAATTTGAAATCACAGGCATTGATATATATATATATATATATATATGAGATTCAAAAACATGAAATCAAAATCACAATCGTACCGTCTCCTTAAGATCCTCCCCATGCAAGTCCTGAAGAATATCAAGAAACCGATCCAATAACAGAGCATCATACTCGACAAGCTTGTCATCCTCAGACACTTTCCCAGGAACCAAAGCCCTCAGTTGTGCGTCAATCGACGCCATCTTTTCAATACTCCGATTCGCCATTACTCAGCCCTGAGCTCACCCTCCCGTGGGCAAGAAACCCTAGAAAAGTCAACAAACAGGAAATTGAATCAATACCACAAATTCCGATCACAAACAGGGCCTAAAAAATAGAGGAATAGACCATCAAAAGCCACGTACAAAGAAGATAGAGATAATGTAGCTCAAAAGTAAAATGAAAAAACAGAGTATAAAGGTCACAAATTGATGTTTCTAATGAGACACAGATGGAGAAGATTAATGGTTACCTGAATCCGGGTAATCGAGATTGAAGAAGAAGAGAGAGTGATCAGAAAGTAGAGAGAGAGAGGGGTGAGAGCCAAGAGCTGTGATCGGCCTTGATATATAGAGGAGAGAGAGTGGGGAAGAGGAGGGACGAAGAAGTCGTAATCATTTTTTTTATTATTATTATTATTTTTTTATTTTTTCCTCTGGACACTGAACCTAGAACTCATCACTCACTCGCCGAAACTCAAGTTGAAAATTTTTGTAAAGTCAAACTTCAGAAAATCTAACCTTCCGTTTTATTTAGCTTTTTAATACGTTTTGAATTACTATATTTTTGAAAGATAAATTATTAAAAAAAATTAAAAATTACAATTTTGTTTTGTTATAAATTTTAAAATGATTTATTATTAAAAACAAAACAACAATGATTCATCTCATTAATTTTAAAATGATTTATTAATGGACCACTAATGAGATAGAAATTCAAAAAAAAAAAAAAAACAAAACAAAACATAAGAGCAAAATATCACATCATGTGAGACCCACATCACTTTAAAACTATTAGTATTTCTCTTTTTAGTGATTTCACTCAATTTTTTAAAATCAAATAAAAAGAAAGAAGCAAGAGGAAAAAATTAAATTAATAAATTAAACATAATTTTTATTTTTTTTATTTTAAGTATTAATTTAAAAGCTAAATCAAACTGTACCTAACGTATCACTCACAGTCTGTGCTGATGCCAGAGGAGCATATGCTTTCAATTTTCAAAGATGCCAATTTTGTTTCCATTATTAGAACTTTCCGAATATTATTGTGAATTTATGGGGGGTTGTGGGGGTACTTGCAGAAAAATTGGCTCATTTTAGGATTTATTTTGATAATATGAATATTTTACATTTTAAAATATATGAATTAAAATATACATATAAAAAATTAAGTTAATTGGATATCATTTATCTATTCATCCACTCACATTTGTATCTACACAAATAAATAATAATAATTGTGATTTAAAATATTAAAATGAATACAAATGTAAGTGGATGAAAGAGTTAACGATATGCGATTAACTTGATTTTTTGCAGACATGTTTTACTTGATGTATTTTAAAATGTGAACTTTTGGATTATTAAAATGGGTCCATTTTGTTGTACAGCAGTCACGCCACATTCATTTATTGAGAGATTTGGTCAAAACTCTTTCATAATAAAATTTTAATGCATTTAGGACAAGCACAAAAAAATTTTCTTGAAAAGTTCAACAAATATCACTATTATCAAAATATTAAACTGTAAAATAGTATAACTTTTGATGTAAATATCAATTTCTAATAAAATTAATATTTTTAAAATTTTCTCATCAAAATCTATCAAATAAAATTCATATTGACTGTAAAATTCATTAAAAAAAAATTATTACTATTGAAATTGATGTAAATAGTAACAGTAACATGTTACTCTATTTGACAGTAATATGTTACTATGTCTCACAATAACAAGTTATTTTCTTTGACAATAACATATTTCTTTGATTCACAGTAACATGTTACTCTGACAATATTGCCTATGAATGGGGAAAAGAAGAAAAAAAAAATATTTTTTATTTTGTTCTTACTAAATTATAAGTTTTCTCCTTAAGAGATTTATGAATGAAATTAAATTAGGTTGTCATTTTCACCAAATAAGGGTCAAATGAAGAAATTTTGACTAAATTTTCTAACTTTATTTTATATTAAAAAAATTACACATCATTGAAAATATTTTTTAAAAATTACAAATAAATAATAAAATTTATTAACTTTAATAATTAAAGTGATAAATTTCTTTATGATTTTGCACTTTTTTTTTTTGAAATCTTTTCATTGATTTGCAATTTTTTCCGGTCACTTCTCTAAATTACACTAATTTCTCTTAAATGTTTAATTTGCATAACAATTATGTCAATTTTTTATTAATAATTTATTAGTTGTATGAACGAAAAATATAGTGTTACCTCTTTTTTATTAAAAAAATTATATTTAATAATCAAAAAATAAAATTTCATGAACCCTAAATTACTTAGGATCAGGGGTGTTCGCGGATCGGTTTTGTGCGGTTTGCGGTTCGGTTTTGACCCGCCCGCATCTATGCGGTTTGGGAAAAAGTCAACCCGCAACCGCCCGCAGTGCGGTTTGCGGTTTATGCGGATAGGGTTTGCGGATGTGCGGGCGGTTGCGGGCGGTTTGCGGTTTATACTTTTTTCTTTAAAAATTAATTTTTGAGTTTTTTTTCCCCATCGAATTTAGGCATAAGATTCATTTTATATATTTGTGATTATTTGACAACAATTTTCTGATGAGTTTACAAATAAAAATTGAATATCAATGTATTAAATAAAAGCACCTAAAACAAAGAGATCCCACACTAGCATTTTTGCAATGAAAAAAATGTATATCGATGCATTAAAAAATATATATCAGTGCATTAAAGGTTGTACGCAATTAGAATTGCCAGTTCAGTAATTAATAATCAAACTAGAAGCTCCATCGACTACCAGAAGGAAAATTTTATTAGAAAAAAATGGATGAGTCACCAACGAAAATATATAAGAAATCAAGTTTAGGACTTGATAATTATACGGCATTAAGAAAGTTGAGAAATACTTAAAAATAAGGATCCTAGTGTCAGAGAACATAATGGGGCTCCTGTTAAAGTTACAAAGTTGGTATATAAAAAAAAAAAAATAACAATAATAATTAAAGTGCGGGCGGTTTTTGCGGGTTGCGGGTTTAAACCGCGACCCGCCCGCAACCCGCAAATTTGTCATATTTCAAACCGCATCCGCCCGCATTATATTTGCGAAACCGCCCATTTATATGCGAATTGGGCGGGTTGGACGGTTTGAGCGGTTCGGATAAACCGTTGCCCACCCCTACTTAGGATGAATAAGGTAAGTATGGCCATGTATTAGGGGTGAGCAGCGGATATACCAATCCACCAAAACCGACCGAATCGAACCGATCTGTTGCATTTTGGACGAATGCGTGATGATAAGCGGATAGTTGCAGATTAATTTTCTCCAATTCGCCAATTTGGCAGATGGATGGCGAATTTGAGATTCCTTTGGCCGAAATCGAATTGCCAAATCGCGAACACCTTTAGTAATTTGTAAGGCTTTGTGTTTTCAGTTTGTTTAAATAATCAGTTTGTGTTTTCAATTAAAAAAAAGTTTAAATATTCTGTTGAAAAAAAGTTTTCAACTTGAATATCTTTTTTGAATTGAAAAAAATAAACGTATTATTTATCTATATTTTTTGGTTTTTAAATCTATCTCTAAAAATAATAAATAGAAAATATGATATATGCTGATTGATTTTTGTTTTCAAAAACAGATATAGATGTAACAATATAGAGACATACAATCTCTACTACTACTATGTTCATGATTTTGCTGATTTGAATTGTTTTTATATTTTAAGAACCACAGATTGTAATACTTTATGTAGATGAGACATGCAGTGATTGTGGTATTCTAAAATTTCAAACGTTCTTACTTTGGATGAGACATGCAGTGATTATAATATTTTTTTAAGTTATTAACTGTAATACTTTCTTCTTTTTTTTCTTTTTTTTTTTTTTGAGGAAGTGCACAAGTTGAATTATGTTGAAAATTTATAAAATTTTAAACCGCCAAACCGATTCGCATCCATCCGCTAAACTGCCAATCCGCTCAATCCATATCCGCCAGATTGGCGGATGGATGCGGATTGATTTTCTCCAATCTGGCGGACGGATGGCGGATTGGAGGTTCCGTGGCCACAACCGACCCGCAGCCACCCTTACCATGTATGTACTCAATGGTTGGTTTTAGGGAAAATTAGGAAATAGTGGTACTACTAGAAAAGTATTACAAATTCATGTAAGAATTTATAAATTTAATTATTAATGTGTATAAGGGTCTTGCTTGGGAAGTTGAATATGGACTAAAATAATCAATAAAGATAAAGTCGACTAATATAGTCAATAAAATAAAATGTCACATTCAAACCATAATCATTTCATTTTTTCTCTCACAATCATCAAATAAACTACACACACCAAAACAAAACAAAAAAATCAACTATTCCAAACACAACTTTTTTAGCGAGGTTAGCCGAAAAACCAAAAACTAACTAAAATAATTTATTCCCAAGCCGGGTCAAAGTTTATCACTTATCTATAATTATTTTTTTAAAGTTCTTTTAGTTTTTGTTTAGGATATATAGAATGTCTATCACTATAATGCACATTCATGTTATTAATTGAAAAATTATATATTATTATCTTTTTCATGGTAAGCATTTAAATTTTTTTTTTCCTAAATCATTTTCTGTAGGACAAAGAATCAAGACCTTTACTCTTACGCTGTGTTTGGTTGGAAGATTTGGGAAGGAATTTGAAAAAAAAAAGAAAGAGAAAATGTAAGTAAAATGAGAATAAAATATACTTACATTTCACCTAGTTTCACACACATTTTTCTTTTCCATTTTCAAATTCCTCCCTAAATTTATCAACCAAACACAACATTAGTAAATTTTAAATATATGTCATTATCAATTGCAAATCGTATTGAGTAATTCAATCAAAAACGATACTTAGGGGTCTTTTGGGAAGTTGCTAAAAAAGCCATTTTTTTTGCTTTTCAGCTTTTTTAACCAAAAAAGTTAGCTTTTTTACCCAAAACAACCCAATTTTTTGCCAAAAAAGTCACTAAAAAAATTAAAAAGCCAACCTTTTACCAACTTTCCAAAACACCACTTAACAAAATACAATAGCAAAACATGTGAAATTTACAACTCGCCCAAGGGTTCAGGTTCGGTATCAAGCTTCCTAATTGGCACCTAACTTTTGCCTACTTCTACTATAAAACCAAACTTGCTTAAATAATTATTGGGCTTCGTTTAGAAATAATGAGTTGGGTGGATTTGAGGTTATTTTAATCACAAAAAGATAAAATAAGTTTTTTAACCTAATAAAACAAAACATCACATCTAATCCATAATTATTACATTCTTTCTCTCAAAAAAAATTTAAAAAGCAAAAAAGTCATTCCCAAACGAGACTTTTTAGCCTCAAACTAAAATAATCAAATAATCAAAAAGTCAACTCACTTCTCAAACGAAACCTAAAAACAAGTACTAATAATATGAATAAAAGTGA